AGACTAACTATCGGGTTTTTTGTCCCATGATGATGGCCGCTTTTTCATGCCCTAACTGCCCCCCCCCCCCCCACCCCAACAAACCAAAAATCCCAGATTCTCATCCCTCTTGACGACTGCACATAGAGTTCGCTCACGTAACAACACAGAGAGAAAGAGAGAGAGAGAGAGAGAACGTTGCAGCACAGTTGGTCACACAAAGACAGTTGCTTGAGCGACAGTTTCTGAAATCAATTTTGCATGCACACCCGTTTTTCCACTGGGTGCACACACCCAACTTTCCGCACATTGTGTGAACGCCGAGTGAAGTCATGTCATCATCATGATGTAGCAGGTCCTTTGCAGATCGTCGTCAGGGTCTGCCTGAAAGAAAGTTGGTCTTTCGCCAGCTCTCCCTCCTCATGTACTTTCATACTCAAGGAGTCACTTATATCCTGTGCTCACCTTCTTGTTAGTCGGCCCCTGTCCCTCCTTCCTGGTACCATGCTAGTCATGTTATAACACCCCTAAAATAGAGGACTGGACTGGGGATTCCGGTGTTTCCTTGACATACAATTATTATGCCCAGATACTTTTTTCGCTTGAGTCCCCATCAAAACTGTGACTGTTTTTGGAAATTAATTTTGGTTTCTACGTAAACATTGGGATCATTTCGAAGCCTAAAGATGGGAGTACGACACGGATGTGTACTATCACCTGATTTGTTTCCTTATACAGTAAATATATAATGAGATCTATCATAGATACCAGGAATTGTGGTTATTTGCCATAACATAAACAATCTGCGTTATGCTGATGACACCGTCTTGATATAGACAAGCCAAAAAGAACAGGAATCGATAGACACGGTTCCTTGTGTGGGTCGTGACAACTGGAAAGATGTGTGGAAAGAGAGACAGAGCAAGACAGCGCGGGAAAATTATTGGCAGCCTTTTATCATGGCAAAGAGGGGTGTCAACACACAAACTGATGATAAACGCAGTTGGGGATCGCCGACTTGTAGAGAGGCATAATCGCCCACACCAGTCGGCAAGAGGCACTTGATGATGATGACATGAGCCCAGCTGAAATGTATACCAGAAACTGTTCGTGTGAGCTCGAAACTATAGGCTGAGTCGTCCTCTCCCACCATCTATTGTGCGAGGGGGGGGGGGGGGGGGGACTCAAGAGGCTTGACAGACACGTTGGAATAGTTATGTGATTCCGGTCACATGAAAGCTTGTGTCACGGCTATCAGCTTCATCATCATGCTGCTGGTAGTCATAGAGTAGGCACCTCTGGCTTCCTGAAATGTTCTGTCTGCAGAGTGATTTGTGACTGCCTGTTGGCCTTGGTGCAATATAAGGTGTGGTTCAATATTTCTGCCTCTAAAATCATTGAATGGTAGAGAGGATTACAGTCTAGATCACTGACGAATGATAGAGAGGATCAGAGTCTAAATACTGAGGAATAATAGAAAGGATTAGAGTGTAGATACTGATAAATGATAGAGAAAATTGGAGAATAGATACTGACCAATGATAGAGAGGATTCGAGTCTAGATCACTGCTGAATGATAGAGAAGATTAGAGTGTAGGTACTAATCAATGATAGAGAGGATTAGAGTCTAGATACTGATAAATGATAAAGGATTAGAGCCTAGATACTGATGAATAACAGAGAATATTAGAGTCTAGATTCTGATGAATGACAATTAGAGACTAGATACCAATGAACGATATAGGGTTAGAGTCTAGATACTGATGGATGATAGGATTTGAGTCTAGATACTGATGAATGATAGAGAAGATTAGAATCTACAGATAAATGAATGAGAATTATAGTCTACATACTGATGAATTATAGATAGGATTTCAGTCTAGATACTGAAGGATGATAGAGAGGATTATAGTCTAGATCACTGATAAATGACAGAGAGGATAGGAGTCTAGATCACTGATGAATGACAGAGAGGATAGGAGTCTAGATCACTGATGAATGACAGAGAGGATAGGAGTCTAGTTCACTTATGAATGAAAGACAGGATTAGAGTCTAGATCACTGATGTCTGTGCCACTACAGACACATTCGAAAGAAACAATGAGGAATGAAACAGCACAATTTGAATTATGTTTTTTTAATGCATTGTTTTCAGATTTCACCTCAATGTTACAGTTAAGCAAAATAACATGCTAACAATTTGCAGCATACTTTCAGTGAAATTACAAATTATGTGACTAGCAAGTTCATACTTTTTAAACAGTTAGTGAACTACTTGAAATATATATATATATATATATATATATATATATATATATATATATATATATATATATATATATATATATATATATATATATATATATATATATATATATATATATATATAAAAAGATATGAACAGTATGGATACATAATCAATCATACATACATACAGGCAGACAGATAGACATACACACTTAGGTGCTTGCACATGAGTAGTTCCATTAATTGATTTGTGTGTGTGTGTGTGGTTTTTCTAGGCAAATTTATGTTCAGTAGTTTGTCATTGCTGAATGGTCGACTCTCGGTACCACTATTGAAACCATTGCAAGGCAGTCTGCTGTTAAACTGTCTGCAGCTGGGACTGAACCCAGCACCCCAGCATTATGAAGCATGTACGCAACGCCTAAGCCGCAGCTGCTGGCATATCTGTTACACTGCATCCTAAGGAATATAAGGAGTTTTGTCAAACAGTTTACTAAGAAACTAATGCAGACATATGAAACATATATATTTTATTTTGTGCATACATCATCATCATCCTCATGTTGTGCTATTATATGTCATGTATGAAATATGGGTTGGGTTTAGCAACATATGTCTGATGTGCCAGTGTTGTAAAATGTGTCAGTTACTTTACTTTATTATAACACAATATTGTATACAATAATTAAATATAATTACATGATATTAACATTTTTAAAGCAATAAAAAAGTATTGGCTTTTCCTCTTCTTCTTCTTCACATTCATCAGCTGTAAACTCCAGTGAAGGAAAGTTCTGGTTGGTCATCCACTTGTGTACATCAGTCCTGTTTCAGAACTTGAGTGTTGCGAGCGTATCTTAATATAACACAACATTGTATAAAACAATTAACAATAAATACATGATACAAACATTTTTAAAGTAACAGAAAAGTATTGACCTCTTCTTCTTCTTTGCATTCACCAGCTGTAAACTCCACGAAGAAAAGTTCTGGTTGGTTATCTACTTGTGGACTCCAGTCCTGTTCCAGAACCTGAGTGTTGCATGCACCACGGGTCCTACTCACCACAGATCATTTTACAGATCTGACTCATTTGTCATGATTTGACATAATTTGACCAAGGACAAGATACATTACAGATTTTTTTAAAACTTCAAACACAAATCAGATAAGAAAAGGAATAGTGATAACTTCCAACCAGTAGAGCCAACAGAGATCAGCAGCTGGCGGAACAGTTGAGAATGCTTGACTCCCATGGGGGAGACCCAGGTTCAAAACCTCTTTATGGTTATTGGTTTTTCTGTTGTGGTGCAAAATAAAATACTAACCTGCACAGTCCATGGCAACAGCACTACACAAGCAGCTCTAAATCCTGAGGATCAAAATCCCACCTACATAAAAGTGATAAATAGTTTTTGTTTTTGTTTTTAATATCGCTAACAGAGAAAGCAGTGGTAGTGAAGTGGGTAAATATTCACCTGCTGTCTGAACATTTAAAATTGAAATCTGCAGAGGCATATAGTTTCAAAACTGACTTTGGCTGCCAGGTCAGTCCAGCTTTAAATGAGTACCTGGCAATGTGCTGGCCATCAAAGTTGGTTGGCATGATACTGACCACAGCAGCATCGAGAACTGACCGGTCTATACTATATCATGTTTGTCCATGCATAAGACATATTTTTCCAAATTTGGTAAAGTTTCAATTTGGGGGTCATATGAATATGCTTAAAATATTTATTTCTTAATTTTAGGCACCCACACAAACAGTACGGTGTTTTATTCATGGAAACATACGGCAGGTCTAGAACTATTTGCCTGATGAGCCAAATGCCTGAAAAGGGTCTTTTACTTTACTATAGCTAACAGAACGTAAAAACATTCTGAACATAAACATAGATAAATGCTCCTAAAAGTTCCATAAGTTATGTTCGATATAATTTTATTATTTAAACAAAAAATGTTTTAAATCTAAAACAAAAAAATTTTAAAAAATAAAATATACAGACATACATGATGAACTAAAGGAAAAAACACACAAAATGCCATCTGATTTATACATTAAAAAAGAAAACTTACAGACAACTACAGTGTTGAACAATTTTAATTTTTAGGAATGTAATATCAAATATATTAAACTGAATGATGCAGAATAATGAAACATTCTTCAAGTCTCACACACACTAATTTTTTTTTTATTGCTTATGGTGCACATTTGTAAAATAAAAATGTGTCATGTTTACGTAATATTATACTTCTTTTGTCAACTAGCAAGAAATAAATGGCTTCAATAAATCAATGCTCTGAGTCTTTTCTGTCAAAGTAAAAGATAACTGAAATACTTCATTACATTATCACAAACTCCCAGTGTGAGTTCTGGGGCCCATGGGGGGGGGGGGGGGGGGGGGGGGGGGGGGAAATCAACCCACTTCCCTCTTGTGTAAGTAAAGTGAATATACAAATCTACTAGCTTTTATGCTCTTCTATACTCAAGTAAGGTAAGTCAATATCATAAACATTACATACAAAAAAAGGGAAAGAAAGAAAATTCTTTCAGTGAAACATACTTAAAGCTACAGCGCAATGTTCTTGAATAAATTCATACTGAGTGGTTTGTGCAGACATAACATAAATGCCATTAGTTTTATTCCAGAAGTTGCAAGTATCAGCGTTTCCGTTACACAGTCTCTACAATTGTAACCAATGAAAACAGTTTCAAACATTCAGCCCTGCCATCTGCTGGAATGGAAAATATAGCCTCTGCTATAAATGTTCTTCTAGGAATAGAAAACTGATTTTGATGACCTTTTCTCCTTAACAGGTGACCCACTTGAGCTTCTCCATAATCCTGAAAGGTAAAATAGAAAGGGTAAACCAAAATCCACTAGGATTATGCAAACTATAAAAATCTGTATAAAGATTATGAGGATCTGTGTGTATGTGTGTGTGTGTGCATGTGTGTGAGTCTTCTTCTTCTTCTTCTTCTTCTTTGTTCACTGGCCGCAAGCTCAGTGGGAAGTCCTGGTTGTTTATCCATTTGACTCAGGCTTTGTGCCTGGTCCTGAGTTTTGCGTGCACATCCATTTTACTGGCTTATTAGTGTGCAGCTGGTTGTTCCTTGCCACTCGGGCAAAGGCACTCAGACTTCAAAGGGAGCTCCCAATTAGTTTACTCCTACAACATGCTTGTTGGCGAAGGCAATGGGTCAATTCTTGTTTTTCCCACAATAGGAACCCCTAAAACCACAGGGAGGTAAAAAAAAAAAATCAGGATTAATAACTTTTACCTTTTAATATATGATATAAAATACAATCTCTCTCTCTCTCTCTCTCACACATACACAAATGCGTGCAAACACACGCACGTATGCATGCACACACACATATAGATGTAATAAAACAGGCACTGAAATTAGAAATAAATGGGTTCTGGAAACAAGGACAGCCAAGAGAAACTGAAACTATCATTGATGAGAGAGGCAATTGGTGATGGACTGTAGCTTAGATGTTGCGAACGCACTTTGTAATGTCGGGGTGCCAGGTTCAAACCCAGCTATGGGAAATTTGGCACGTCTTGCGTTGGTTTCGATAGTGGTACTGTGAGTTGACCATTTAGAAAGCAGTGGCAAACTACTGAACATAAATTTTCCTACAAAAATCATGACAACCAAAAAAAAAATGCTGGGGTTGGTTCTGCAACATCCTGTAAAGTCTACGCAACTAGCTTTCCGTTTTTTTCATACAACTTTTTAGAATAAGCATGGTTGCTAAAAGCAGCATTTAGGCGGGGTTTCCTTGTGAAAATGGCTTTATTTTTAGAAATCATGATTTTCTGTTAGTTACAGTGGTAACTGACAACTGGTTCACGGGGTCAAGAAAAGGTCATGCTCAGATTGATGCAACCCAGTCAATTCTCTGCCCCATTTATGTTTATTGATTTCTTTTATTATTTCGTATGCAATTTAATATTGTTTTAGTCCACAAATGTAAGTGTTATGTTTCATTGTGTGTGATATATAAAAAATGTTTTTTTAATGAAATATTTTTTCAGAAAACCCAAGGTTAGAAAACTACAGGTCTTTGGCTTTTTTTTTTCTAGACCACTGAGGCGAAAGTGTTAATAACCTCTCGCTCTAAATATATAATATAAACCAAGATTATTTACCTTTCTCTCTCATCATTTTAAATTCTCTGTCTTCAGTCTCATACCTGCAATTATATATTTTTACAATGAGTGAAGCATGCAATTTACAGTTTTTGCTGGAGTAACGTATATACAGACAGGAGTCTAGGTAGGGTAATGGTTAGATATTTACCTAACTGTTCAAAGTTCTTGGGTTCAAATCCACATCACAGTGGATGCTTTTACAAACTGACCTTCGCTTCCCAGTCAACTCAGTCTAAAACTATTACCCGGTAACGTGCTGGGAAGTAAAGGCTGCTGGCATAATGCTGACCTCGTTACATATTAAGTGACAATTGATCTATAAAAATATAAGTCTGGCACATCACATGCCTGGTGTTTGATTATTGTAAAGAGAATCCTTTAAATATTTAAAAAAACAACTACTTGCTGCTATATCACTTATTAAAACACCAAATGAAATTTACAGGGAATCTAAACATAATTTGTATAGCACTCATATGATGCTATGGCAGGGCAGACCAGGCCCTTAGCCTTGACTGGAAGCTGGTCAAGCAGGGAAGCTCCAAAAGGCAGACAGACTTTTTTGTGGAAAATGACTCTTCCCCGAATAGACCCTGGGTGTATCAGTTGGTGCGGTGAGACAAGAAAATCATATGAATGCCATCCGTTGTTAAATCAGCCAAAACAAAATGGGAGTTATTAGCCAAAAGACATTTAGAGACATGCTCAGAAGGAGACCGTAGCAGCTATAATCGTGTTTAATGGAGATGATCTTTAAATGAACAATAAACAGTGATCAGGCAGCTTCTGCAGTATGCTTCTTTCCAAAGTTACCGGTGTTTAGTTAGTTAGTCGACAGATTATCATCATTGCACATCGAACCATTCAGTCCATAAGTGCTCGGATCCCCACCTTAGTAAATCCCACAGTGTCTAGCCGCTCATGACACCACTTCTGTGCTGGTTTCTTATTCTTCTCTAGCTTCCTGCTTAGTGCTCTTTTCTGGCGACGCCCCTTTTAACATGTAGCTCTTGCAGTCTGGTCATTGTTGCAGATTCACAGTCATCAATTGGTTGTCACAAAAGTCTTACTTTTCATAGTGCATTCATAATATCAGGATAGTCCATGGCTCATACACCCTCCACAGTTGCTCACCGGCAAGCTGATCCGCTTGCTCATTTCCTTGCATGCCTGCATGCCCTGGCACAAATATGAAACTAACATGTGTCAGTCCAGACCGCTTAAGAGATTCCACCCACTGCCTTCGGATCCAGCCTTTCTCTATCTTCCGTGTGTTTACTTTGGAGTAAATAAGGCAGTAAAGAGATAGATCATAATGCATGGGAAACACATGGTGTTTCTACAATAATGCCCAGGTTTTGTGCTATGGAGTCTCTACAATACTGCCCAGGCTTTGTTCTATGGAGAGGTGTAAGCGGGTCTGGCCCGTCACACTCACCATCACTATGAGCTGTGACTCCCAGGCCTTGCTATAGCACAGTATAACAGTATTGTCCGAAAAGATGGAAAGGTGCCAATCAATCAAATAGAGAAATAGAAAAATTAGCCTTGAGTGGAAAAAATATTAGGTATACAAATGGCAAAAACAGAAAGATGCACATGCAAAGATTCTAGTGTATGAACTGATACATAGCACCAGAGAACAGGAGCTGTAGAGAGGCATGACTGTCCTTGCAAGATGGCAAGGAACTTCTTTATCTGCTACCTTTCAAACTTTTAACTGCCGCCTTTCAAACTTCTCATCTGCTACCTTTCAATCTTCTCATCTGCTGCCTTTCAATGTTTTCATCTGCTGCCTTTCATATTTCTAATAGAGTATAGGCCAATAACCACCGCTCACAGCTAGCAATAAATATTATAGGTAACAACTTTGGCATCACTAAAATACTAATTCCTCTCCTCTACATTAAAAGAAAATCTTTTTTTTTCAAATGTCTCTTAGAAAGACAATTATGTAATGGTTAAAATAACAAATAATATCCAAGCCAAGTATTCAATGTTTGTCAAATGACACAATCATTACCTAAGCCTATCCTCATCCATGCTATCTATAATCATGTTTCTCTCCTCAACCAATTCCAGCTTGCGTTTGATGAGGTACTCTTCTTCCTGCTTTTCGTCAGCAGATTTGAGGCCCTCTGTGGAAAAAACAAAAACAAACTGGGTCATTGAGTGAATTACAGCAGATAGTGAAGTTCATACTAGAGACAATATTGCAGATATAGATAATCTATTTCAAGCGAATGAAAGAAGAAGAAAAAGATAAAATACATTATCAGTGTTTCTAATGTTTTTAGTTTTACTTACATTACATGCATTATCAGTGTTTCTAATGTTTTCAGTTTTACTTACATTACATGCATTATCAGTGTTTCTAACGTTTTCAGTTTTACTTACATTACATGCTTTTGGTAAGATGCATTATCAGTGTTTCTAATGTTTTCAGTTTTACTTACATTACATGCCTTTGGGAGCAAGTGAACAATGTGGAGGCATGAATAGACCGGTCGGGAGAGAATCATACAGCAAAGAGTGGCCAGGCAATCTGGTCAGCACTCCGCGGACAGGCAAGACAGACAAATAATCAAGCTGCTACTGGCACCAGTGAAGCTGGAACTCTTCACTGGCTGCTGAAGATGAGGAAGAGTGCTTATGGGAATGCTATGTCACTTCTTAACACTCAATAGATAAATCTGTCTATAAATATCACAGAGCAAAACAAGTCACAAACTTATGTACACATGACTAAGCTATAAGTACAAAGACTTGATGTGGTCAAGACTCTTTGGGAGAAAACGAACAATGCAAGAGCGTGAACAGATCATTATGGTCTAAAGAGAATGATGCTGCGAAGAGTGAGCAGGGGATATGGTCTACACTTCACTCAGTGGAAAAGCAAGATGGATATATAATGAAACTGTTACAGTTATCCTTGCTATAGGGTATAGGATTATGGGAAAATTATGGGGAAAATGCAACATCTAACTGCAGGCAAAAGCAAATAATTTACCAAGTTTAATGGTTACTGACACCAGTTATAATGGTGACTGAGATCAGGAGAAATGATTCCAGAATATTTACTGAAAAAGGAGTGAGGCAAGACAAGAGCACTATGCAGGAAGCCATAAACACCACACAAAAAAACCCCCCACAAAACCGGTGTTGTTAGATGCTTTACACTTGGACATCAGTTGAGGAGGGAATCCAAGCACATGGACTAAAAGGTTAAGGATGCAGTAAGGATGATCTGTCCACAAACTATTTACTGACATGTGGTTAATGATGTCACATGTAAGGGTTACTGACGTCATGTGTAATGGTTACTGATGTCATGTGTAAAGGTTACTGACATCATGTGTAATGGTTACTGACATCACATGTAAGGGTTACTGACATCACTAAAGACCGTTGATTCTTACCCCCAAGAATGGATACATGTCTATACTGATGGATCAGCATTTAAAGCTACCATTAAAGCAGGTTACGGAATCTACATAGGTTATCCCGATGGATCTGTTGAAGAGATTTTTGATGCATGCGGGGAATTCTGTTCAAACTATGAAGCTGAAATAATTGCACTGGAAACAGCAGTATACCACCTAAAGACTGTAATGGATGTTTACCCCTCAAAGGTCCAAAATATTGTCATCTTTACAGATTCAATGTCTGCCCTTCAAGCTCTGGAGGGCAATGAACGCTGCAGAACTGACATAGCCAAGATAATCCTGGATGCCGATCATCTTATTACCTCATACAACATCAGAATAGTGATGCAGTGGATTCCAGGTCACTCCGGCACACCAGGTAATGACAGAGCTGACAGATTGGCAAAGAAAGGAGCAACACAAGAACAACCACCTACAGCGACAACCCTCCAGACAGCAAAAACACTGATAAGAGCTATAAACAAAGAGACTTGGTTGAACAGATGGGCCATGGGAGACACTGGAAGAGAGGTTTATAGACATATGTCTGGCCCTGATCCTAATGACAGCATTAACCATCTAACAAGAAGGGACCAGGCCACCATCTTCAGACTTAGAACGCAACATACTCCACTCAATGGACACCTAAACAGAATACAGCCACAACACTCCCCAGAGTGCCAGCTATGTAACTACCCCTACGAAACTGTTGAACACCATCTCTTTGAGTGCCCAAAACTCAGTGAGACAAGAAGAACGCTACTCCCTCCGAGACCAGACAAGTGGAACACCTTGTACGGAGGAAAAGAACAGCTTGTGAAAACATGCAAATTCCACTACATGGCATTGGGCCAAAGGGCGAAAGCTCATGCGCCGCTGGATCGATAACAACAACAACAACAAGGGTTACTGACGTCACATGTAAGGGTTACTGATGTCACGTGTAAGGGTTACTGACGTCACATGTAATGGTTACTGATGTCACGTGTAAGGGTTACTGACGTCACATGTAATGGTTACTGATGTCATGTGTAAGGGTTACTGACGTCACGTGTAAAGGTTACTGACTACTTTGATTTTCAGAGACCAAGAACAAAATAAGTAACACAAAAAATGTGAAATCTTTCACGTGTGAGTTCTGGGCCCCAAGCATGTCATGAAAGGTGACATGAAAGTTTGCTGGGTCAAAAGGTGCAGACGTAATAGTCTAGCAGACTGACTTTCAACCACACCAGAATATCACACCGAGCGATAAACACCTGGTGACACAGAGTGCCACCACTTGGATGAGGATCAGCCAGGAATAGGTCCTGGAAACCTCGTTCAACCCATAGGTTGGGTTTTATTAGGGCCTCTGGCAACAGCCAGGGTGGGGCTTTAAAACACCCAAACAAAAACTGCATCCAACATTGGCATGCACCGTGTAATAGCATAAAAAAGCCTAGCTGTAAACAACAATACAGTGTTGTAAACCGTCTATTAAGGTGGAACACAAGAGAAAAGACAGTGGAGAAGAACAACAAATAAACTATTTGTTTTCATATGGTGAACTATGTGAAGAATGAAATGGTTTGGCCATCTAATGAGAATTAAACCAACAATGTCAGCAGCAAGAGTGTATGTACAACCTGAAAATCGAAACATCAAGAGGCAGGAAAGACCTAAAAGAAGATGGATTGAAAGAGTCACTGACACCTTAAGACTGCATAACATCACAGCATATTAAGCGACTAAGCGCTCCCTAGCTCAGCCGCCGATCATCTGATGAACTGCGAGGCCTAGCGGCACAAGCAGATATTGACAAAAGAAGAAGAAGAACTGAGCATGCACATATTTCAAACATTCTGCCCTTCTAATCTCTTTCCTTTTGTACATCATTTCATTGATACATCTGTTAACAAGTCTTCTTCTTCTTTTGTCAAAATCTGCTGGTGCCGCTAGGCGTCGCAGTCTATCAGATGATCGGCAGCCGAGCCAGGGGGCGCTCAGTCGCTTCATATGCCGTGATGTTATGAAGTCTCAAGTTGTCTGTGACTCCTTCAATCCATATTCTTCTTGGTCTTCCCCTGCTGTTAACAAGTAATGGTGAATATTATAAACAAGAAGCAGGTGAACAATAAAGTTTTCAGAAAAAATGATCACTGACCTGGTTTGCTGATTAAATAGCGCAGCTGAGACTCAATGTGTTCCTGTTCATCTTCTAATTCTTGCTCTCTGGAGCTGTGCAGAAATTAAAACAAATGTTTAGTCTAAGAATGAAGAAGTGGAGGACAGAACATAGAAGCAAGAAGGATTATTAGAAGGAGGAGGAGGAGCAGGAGCAGCAGCAGCAACAGAAGAAGAAGGAGAAGAACACATACTCATCAAAAATTGCATGTAGGTCAGGTAAGATCATTCTACATCACTTCACATTTCAACAGCAAAATTAAGTCAGATAGTTAATTCCATTCCCTAGTGTATCTGCTTCTTCTTGTTCTTCTCGTTTACCAGCTGTTAAACCTAGTGAAAAGTTATGATTGTTTATCCACTTTTGGACCTTTGTCTTGTTCCTGAACAGGTTTTGTGTGTATATCCATTTCACAGATGTGGCGCTTATATATAGATATATATACAGACTTTTGGTTCTCTGCCTCTCATGCAGATGCAATCTCTCACTTGAAAGGAAACACCCACAATGTCTACTTTTATTATATACCCCCCCCCCCCTCTCTCTCTCTCTCTATATATATATATATATATATATATATATATATATATATATATATATATATATATATATATATATATATATATATATATATATATAATATATATATATATATATATATATATATATTGTGTTGCGGTGGTGGTTGGGGGGGGGGGGGAGGGGGTTTCCAGAGCCCCATTGTTGGTGGGGGGGGGGGTGTTTCTATCCCCCCCCCCCTTCCCCCCCAGCAATCCTGGAAACCACATGTGTAAAGTTCACATTCAAACAGGAATGTTCAGCTTTTACCCTATTATACTCATAACACTGTACCACTCCACGCTGACATTACCTAAAAAGGAAATGCTGTGGGAAGTAAAGGCTGTTGGCATTACGCTGACCTCATCACCCAATGCTAGCATAAAAAGATTCCTTATGGAACTATTTTACCTACTACTTTGTCACACACATACAGACCACATAACACATCGCTTGCAAAAAAATTCCCATCTTCATCTTTTTCTTAGCTCCTCTTCTACCGCTTCAGTGTCAAGGGAGATATAAGATCCTGCTTCATGCTCTTCTGGCTGCTTTGACCATAGAAACACTGTGGTGCTGTAGAGTTTCTCTGATGTTATCTTCCCCATTTTTCTTGGTCTACCTCTTGCTCTACGTCCCTCTTCACTTTTGGTATATGCTTTGCACGGTATAGCATCAGAATGCATTCTCTCCTAGTGGATAAACCATTTGATTTGCTGTCTTTGTAAATAATTTAGAATTTTTATATAATTTAGAATTTGTATATAATTTAGAGACTTACATATAAGCCAGGTCAGCTTCCTTCCTAACCAGTTCATTCCGCTCGCCCACAAGTTTGAACCACTCATTGATCAGCTTATCATCATCCTCCTCAAGTGTGTTTTCTGTTAAAATAACCGAACATTTGTCAGAAATATGGAGCGGCTGGTCGAACATTTGTCAGAAATATGGAGCGGCTGGCCGAGCATTTAAGAATGCTGAGCTCTTATTCAAGTGTGAATCCCTGGTGATCGATTTTTTTTTTCCCTGCTGGGGCTGCTGAAGATGAGGTCAGAGCTTACATGGGAATGCCTCGAGTGCTGTGATGTCAATTCTTGACTCAACTAATCTCAACTCAACAGGCAGTAAAGACTGTGTCTGTGTGCATGTGTGTGTGTGTGTGTGGGGGGGGGGGGGAGGGGGTCAGAAACACTTTTTCTTTACTTCCTCTTGTAACCACTTTGGGTGTCGAGGGAAACACACATGGATCTGCTTCTTGCTCTTCTGGATGCCCCAACCATAAACACATTGTGCTTATGTAGAGTTTCTCTTATGTTATCTTTCCATCTTGGCCTTGGTCTAACGTATGCCTAATGTCCTTCTCATTCAGTGTATTCTATGTATGGTATGATGTCACAAGGCATTATCTCTAATTGGGAAAACATTTGTATGTTAATTAGAACTGGTTCTGTCTGTGCCATCTTTTTTTTACCTATGACCGCATCACTTCTGGTCACTCCTACAGCCCTTTTCAGATATCTTATTTCCATGGCTACTAATTTTCCTTTTTCTTTTTTGTTGTTGTGACTGACTGGCACTTGTAGCACAGGATGGGAAGAAGTATGCTTTGTATGAGATATTTCTCTGTGCTGACTGGTCTTGTATTGTTTGAAAAAAAAAATATTTAAAAATTAAATTCTTTATTCAATTTACCACCGTCGTCTAATGTTGTTCCCAGATATTTTAAACTCAGATGCCCGTTTAACGCATTTGCACTCTACAGCTATAAATAGGTCTGCTTTTTTCTTCCTATTGACAGTACTTCTGTTTGTTTATTTTTCAGTTTTGATTGTTTATTTGTCAGTTTTGATTCTCATATTATTTGTTTTACATTCTTCATTCTTGTATGTGCGACGCTGTCACAATTTCAGGGCTGTTATCTGCTATCAAGGCAGTCATTGTTGAAAAAAAGCAGTCAGCCCCTTACCTCCCAGACAGAAGCATTCTGACTCTAAAAGAGATGACGATCCTATCCTTTTGGACAGGCTCCTAGTCGGCTCCCTGTTTCTAGGATGGCGATAGAAAGATATAGATAGGTCTAGACCAGTAGGTGCCATAAATAAGGACCATAACCCAAGAAGACCTGCAAAACCCACTTACAATGGACTATAGTTTACTTCAAAACCCACTCACAATGCACTACAGGTTACTTCAAAACCCACTCACAATGCACTACATGTTACTTCAAAACTATCTTGTGGCACCCCAATTTAACTGTGCCACATATACAGTTTAACAGGTTTCTGGGATTTTTAGCTGTCTGAGTTTTATCCAGAAGTGTCAATCCTATAGAATGCAAAATTGGAGGGATAAAACTCAAAGTAAAAAATTTTTTTTAAAGAAGATGAAGACTTGTAGAGATAATTCTTAATTTTTTTTTAAGATGATGCCACTCATTGTATCAAAACTAAACAAAATGACTTTGAATAAAAAAAAACTATGCATTATCAAAGTCTTCTTTATTTAATGGCTGGACTGTGAAATTCACTTTCTGAAATATGATGCTGTTCGTGAGTCTTCTTTCCTCAAACAAAATCTTAGTTTTCGTCTTTTTGATCCGTGTCATTCGATTAAATTTTCTGCAGCAATTAAGTTTTAAACAAATTGTTTTACTTTCATCCATGCAAATTAGTATTTTTTTAAAAACAACATTACAATATATATTATTATTTTTATTCTTTCCAAATAAATATTTATAGTTAACAGATTCAACTGATTCATTAGGACATATTTTTTTAACTTAACCATGCAGGAAAGAAAATGAAAATTGACACTGGAAGCAGGCATAAAACAAAACAAAAATAACAATAAGGTATTATTAGATAAAGAAAAACAAGAACATGCGAAATGGTCAGTAAAACGAAACAGGTTAAACATTATTTTCATGTCTGTTAATAAAAGGATGAGTGAGTTAACCAACAAAACCGTCACATATTCTTGAACATGATTCAAACAAACAAGAAAAAGTTAACTTTTTATCTTCTTCTTCAAATTCACCAGCTGTAAATATTGACGGAAAGTTCTGCTTGTTCATCCATTTCTGGACATTAGGTCATTCACATCTCCTTTTTCCAACGGCCATCCACTAGAGAGCTATCCTTGCCAGCACATAAACAATTTTTGTTCCTCGCCTCAATTTGTCATTTGAGTGATAACTTTAGAAAAGTAAGATGTTTGTTCCATTATTTTTCAGTCTTTTCAAGGTGAAGCAGTGATTGCATACCAATATCAGTTCATGTGGATGCTTTAACAAAAAGGAAATAAACATTTCTTTCACAGTCATGATAAAGAATTATGGTCAGCTCATTGTGTCCAAAATGTAGCTGTCAGTCATAAATTAAGAGGTTAAAAAGTATAACTCGCAATAATAATATACGAAACAAAAATTAACAAAACCAAAAGCTGATCATGCAGTCTGTAATAACAATTGATTTGAAAACTAAAGGAGAAAAGAAACACACAGGAAAAAGAGAAAACAAAAAATGAATACTTTTTCACAGTTGAAAATTAATTTAGTTTTAAAATGCATATACCCATGTAAATTTTGCTGCTCTTTTTGCACATCTGAAAAGTTAACCACAATAATTTCATCACATATTAGTAATGACTGTCTCGTACAACAATCCAACAGTTATTACTTTAACTATTTCTATTCCAGGAGGTCCAGGGGGTTGAGAGTTGAAAAAAAAAACGGTTTAAGTCGAGAGGATTGACTTCATTGCAGTGAGTTTGATACCATATTGCTTGGTCTCTCTCCGCAGAATGGTTAGCAGCCTGCCAAGAGTGATGCACAAAGTATGAACTAGCTCCAGCAATGATCTCAGTGATCTCCATAAAAATTGCACTCATGAAATGAACCCATGAGTTTCAGAGTACAAGGCAAATGGCTCGACCACTTCGCCATGGAGACCCCATAAAATCACACCTTTGATGAGACTCGAAACTGCGCTCTCCAGGTTAGGAAGCTGATGGCTAATCCATTAGGCCAGGGCTATTCAACTAAGTTTACTCAGGGGCCAACATTTGGGAAATGGGGATGGTCACGGGCCAAAGGCTCAGTCCCAACATAGAAAGAGCATTAATTCAATACAACTGGCAGATGATTTGTGGGCCACTTGTTACGCCTTTGAGGACCAGCTTTAGCCCACGGGCCACCAGTTAAACAGCCCTGCATTAGGCCATGGAGAGACTATAAGCAATAAAGACTTGGCTCTAAGTAGTAGTAATTTAAACAGTAATATTCTCTTTAACCAATCTGGTTTATCATTGAGATATATAGCATTATTTTTCTATTTTAATAATGGGGTATTTATGCCTTTCATTTATATTTGGTTGTTTAATATTGCATAGCTTTTATATTAACTGAATAAGACTGTAGGTGTCTAATTTTACCGACTGGTTTAGCTGTATGCAGACCGCCGGTTAATAACCTCATGGTCAGAGGCATCCCATCTTCAAAGGAAACACCCATAGTCACCTTCTCTGAACAGTTTCTTAAGGGGGCACTGGTCCTAATCCCCCCCCCCCCCCCCCCCTCATGCACCCCAAAAGAAAACAATGGGACCTTAGAACCCACACCGGAATGTTATTTCTAGCAACACATCGCTCTGTAAGATGGGTCTTCATGCCTAATTTTTAACCCTTGGAATGTCAAGTTCATTTGTGTGTTCTCTATTTCAAAATAATTTCATCAAATTTATACAAAATATTGAAATTCATCTCACCTGCTGAAGAAAAACATTAATTATTACTGCACAATCACGTTAATCTGTATTATGTTGACAATAAAGTCCATGAAAATACTGTACAGACCAGTTGAAGAAAAAAGAGCTTACTAAGATTACATAAGAGTACAAAACTTGAATTTAAAAAAACACATGAAAACAAAATAGTGCAATTAAAATCATATCTTTGGTGATCTGTATTATAATTCTCATGCTTATTTTGTAAAACATATAGATTATATTTCATAAGGCTTTGATTATTTTTATACATACATAGACACATACACGAACTCAACCTGAAGCAGTCACATTTATATTAACCTTATTAAACAATTAAATCATCAAAATGACATTGCGGTTTAATTTTTCAGACTTTTAATAATTCTATTTTATAATTATTGCTTTAATTCTCCAGTATTATACTGGCGCCGAGTTCATTTATCACCCAGCCAAACTGGACTATGTTACTTTGTAACCTTAAGGTGTCCTAATATAACTGTGATTATATGGCTATACAGGGTTTCCAGTTCCAGGATTTGTTCCTGTTGGATTCTCATCCAAATAACTTGGTAACAATCTTTCAGATAGCCCTCTTAGAGAGAAAAAAAAAAACAAGGGCAAAAAAGCTGAATTGTAAAGGTTGTAAAAAATGTTTAAAAAGGAATGCCAAAATGTATTACCATTTCTAATGGACTCTTCCAAATCTCTCCCTCGCAGCTCCAGTTCTGTCAGTCGACCATCTAAGTCCAGTAATTGTTGTTGTAATTCTATGGCAGAAATCTGTGCCGGCGGTACCTAAAATACAATAGAAACATGTAAAAATAGGTCTTTTTTATGTGGACACAGATTCTTTGAAACTAAAAATAAATCTGAGTAAGTAAAGGGCGAGACACCACGGTGTAGCAGCTAGATGTTCTCCTGCAGTTCAAAAGGTCATGGTCCCCATGTGGGTTTCGGGGCACTGTTATAGGCAAAAAAAAAAAAAAACCCACTGCCTATCCAAAAGCATGTCGTAAGAGTCGACTAATTGGGAGGTTCCTTTAAGGTCGGAATGCATCTGCATAAGAGGCAAGGAACCAATAGTCTGCACACAGATGAGTCAGATCTGTGAAACAGATGCACAGGCAACACTCAGGTTCTGAAACACGACTGCTGTCCAGAAGTGGATGAACAACCGGAACTTTCCGTCAGAGTTTTCAGCGGGTGAACGCCAGAAAGAAGAAAAAGGAAAGGTAATGCATTCAGGTCCTTAAAAAATTCATTTTATCATTTTATGTCATTTGATCTCTTCCATTTCTCTATGATTTTATCTCATCTTGATACTCTAGCAGCTCTCCTAAGACAACTTATCTCGGCTGTTGTGATTTTCTGTTCGTTGCAATCAGACTCAACATGCCATCATCATCAAGTGCCTTGCTGACATGTGTGGGCGATCATGCCTCTTCACAATCCGTGATCCTCAACAGCATGCATCAATCTGTGTGCCAACGCCCACTCCATGCCATGAAACAAGACTATTAAAAATCTTCTCACTCTGTCTTCCTCTGTCTCTTTTTCCCAAGATTTTTCCAGTTGTAACAATATGTGCCATTTGCCTTTTTCTCAACAAATAATCAAAAAATGTTGACCGCCTCTTTCTGATATTTTTGATTGATCTTCTTTGAGCCCTCGCCTCATTCAAAACATGTGGGTTCTTCTTATTTGGCTGTCCAAGGAACTCTAATTATTTATCTGTAAAACCACATTTCCAAGGCCTCAAGAGATTTTCGTGCTTGTTTACTTATTGTCCAGGATTAACAGCCATATGTTAAAAGTGGCTCTATGTAGCATATGAGAATTATTTTTCTAACCTCCAATGAGATGATTTATTGCAAAGAATGTTCTTCATTTTGGAAAATGCAAACCTGTCCTATTCTGCTCTTTTTCTCTGTAATTCATCTTCCACTGGATGTTATCCATGTGCCTAGATATTAAAATATGTGTACTTGCTGTAAAAACACTTATGTTACTGCTATGAATAAATACAGAACTGCAGTAACCTTCATCGACTGTCATTTGGTGCCATGTGGGTTTTGTGGAAGAAAAATCTGCCTCGGCTAACCTGCGAGTCTGACCGTCAAGACGACAGCCTGAGTCAAGTGTGTATAAGAAAGAGACCCATTACACTTTCCATCCCTACTGAATCCATCAATACCAGTAGTTCTGTCTGACTTGCCGCTATCAAGACAGGCATATCTGTGGTGTGGGTCATTATATCTTCACTGTACAATGTAAGAAATTAGTTGATAGTACATATCCTTCACCCATCATCATGTAGCAGGTCCTTTGCAGAACATCACTCTCATCACAGTCTGCCTGAAAGAAACTTGGTCTCTCGCCAGTTCTCCCTCCCGCCTCATGTACTTTCATACTCAAGGAGTCACTTATATCCTGTACCCATTTTCGTGTCGGTCAGCCCTGCCCCTCCTTCCTGGTACCATGCCTTCTGCTATAATTTTCTCCAATCCGTCGTGGCACTTGATATGACCAAAATATTTCAGCTTCCGAGAAAGGATGCTGTTTATTAGCCAATCTTCCTTGATGTTCAGATCTTTTAAGATGTCAATATGTCCAGCGTGAGCTGGAAGCGTGATGGGCTCAACATCCTGTCAGCCAATTTTACTTCCCAAGATATGTTCTGGTAACTAAATTAACTAACTAAAGGAGGAGGGTCTGGCTGAACCTGAGTGCCTCATGCATCTCCAGAAGTAGTGGGTAACCATGAATTAGCCAGGCAGCAGGCATGGAGGCTGCAAGGAGGCAACACCTTCACCATGCAAAGGCACAACAGGGCAATCACCTGTTTGCCTAAAACCACAATTACAAGTCATCACAGAGAGAAAACCAGACAGTGACACACTGGCATTGTTTACGATTGATTGATTGATTTGATTCAAGAACCGACATCACAGCACTTGGCGCATTCCCATAAGCGCTCCATCCCCATCTTCAACAGCCAGTGAAGAGTTCCGATACTAATGGTGCCAGAAGCATTCTGATTAAACGTCCATCTTGCCTTTCCTCTGAGCCTCAAGCATCTGCCAGAACCTCTCGTCACTCCCCGCTGCATCAATCTCACCAGACTGTGGTGATCCATCTGCTCCTCCGAACTGTACACGCTCTCCCACAAGGCACTAACAACGTCTGCCTTATCATGTGCACTGTTTACAGACTACGATTTACCTCTACACCCAAAGATAGAAAAGCAGCGACTAAATAAGTAACCAAATTTAGACTGGAATTACTTGGAGAGACTAGACTTGTAATTTGGACTTAATCCTAATGAACATTCAACATCATGCACACAGCATGACAAAGAAGGGATACATAAAATAGTTGTACAATGACACACACACATTGCAAAATGATGGATTAGCACAATACTCACAGATTTATGATGCAGTCGTGGGGGAGGTGGTCTTGGGGGAGGCACATGTTTATCATGGAGGGTCAAGCTAGCTGTTGATGTTGTTAGACTGCTTTCAAAATCTGAAGAGCTCTCTTCAAAGTTAAATTTTGCTATGACTTCAACCTTCTTCATTGGGACAGGGGAAGTAGGTGGTGAATTCAATTTTTCCTGCAGATAAAATAGTCCAAAGTCTTATGTGGTGATGAATAGTGAAAGCAAAGTAACATACATTTATATGATGCCCTAATGTGAGCAATTAATGTCTCTTAGCCTCTCTCACTAAAGCCTATCTCACCTCCAAGTTGTGGGCCCTGTTCTTCCCAGTTATCCAGTGGGACAACATACATTTATTTTATTTGTTCCACATCACCTTTTCCACTTCCTCTATTTTAAAGTTATTTATCAGACCCTCTGTGGGGACGTGACCAGAACAGTCTACCCATTGTTGCAGTTGCTGTTTGGTTTATGTCAAAAAAGGCTCTGGCCAAAACATCCAGTTTGTCTTGTAAATGTACATTCTTTCCCTGCCCCTTTGTTTTAGCTTCTTGGTTTCACATCACCCCAGTTTTCATAACTCAGTTAATTTGATGCATGGAGGTTTTTCTTAGTTCAATGATGTCACTGTTCTGCCTCTTCTGGAAACCACAAAGAAATGTATAAAAGTTAGCTGCACTTCCTGTATATAGCGTCGCAAACCACCCCCCTGCATTAGTTGACTGTTTGTGGTTTTACTAAGCAATTTTATATTTAGTAGTTTGCCACTGTTCCCTAAATGACTGATGCTCATATTACTAAAAGAATCAATGCTTGCAGCTGAAGTGGAATTATGAAACTGCATTCATAAATCCTGTAGCCACATTTGCTTATTTCACAGAAGTTAGTTAGTTAATCGACAGATTATCTTTACTGCATGTCGGATAAGTCCATAAGTGCTTGGGTCCCATCTTCAGTATATCCCTCAACATGTTTGGTGACTGTTAACACCAGTCTGTGTTGGTTTACTATTCTTCTTTAGCTACCTTAGTGTTCATTTCTAGCAACACCGCTTTTTACCTGAACCTATTGTAGTCTTTTGAGTGTTGCTGATTCAATGTCATCTCCTGAATCATCTTCTCATCCTGCCTTTTTGAGAGCATGAGAATGCTGGCTGATTTCACAAAAATGTATGTGCAATATATCAATAAATCTGTATGTGAGACTTACCTTACTATTTCTGCCAAGAACGGTGATCTTCCTCCTGACTTTTGGGGATGGTTGTCTGCTCCTGTCAATGCTGTCTCCACTCTGCAACAAAATCTTTTCTTCAGAGAGGACAGACGATCGACGATTTTCTTCATCTTCGCTGCTATTATGCTGAGAATCCTGGGATCTAAATGAGTCAATACTCCGTTTTGGTGAATTTCTCATACTAGAAGCAGCTTTTTCTTCTCCATTTTCATCTTTGAACCTCTCTGTATTATTCAAATCAACTGATTCAAACAAAGCATCTTTTTTTCCGTCTAAGCTCTGATTACGTTGTCTGTTTCTAATAGTGTCAGATTCTGATCCATTTTCACCTCTTGATTCTTCAGCCTGTTTTTCAGAATTATTAGCCTTTTCATATTCTCTCTCCAATGACATGTCAACATTAACTGATTTCAGCTTTGATTTGTTAATCATAAACTCCAATTCTGAATCTTTTAACTTGACTGTTTTCTTTTTGACTGGTTCAAATGCAGACTGCTCATTTTGAAAGTCTAACCCATTACTAGGTTTTGTGTTCTCCCTTGTTTTGTCCCTGATTCGTGACACATTTTCTTCTGCATCGTGGATTGCACTTCTACCTTGGCATTCATTAACACTGCCTGAGGAGCTGTATCCTGGTTTAGAAGAATGTGATTCTTCTTCTTGCAAAGACTGATGCCCTTTCCTAATTTCTTCTTGTGAAGAATTATACTCTTTATTAATTTCTTCTTGAGCAACCGATTTAGAATCTGTGTTTACCTTTCTTGCCCCTTTTTCTTTAAGACATTTTAATTTAACATTTTCAGATTCAGATTTAGCAATGTCTTCTCTCAACTTCTTTTTCCTTTCATTAATATCTTTCTTCCACTGAGGTAACTCTTCGTCTGCCTGAAACTTTTCCACATCAACACTTTCTGACTGTGAACTACTGGTAGAAGATGTGGAGGGAAAACGATTCAGTCCAGAAACACAGGAATCTGACTCAAGACTTTCATCATGACTTTTTCTATCCATCTGAGACAACTCTGTTGACAAATTGTCAAGATTGGGTGATTTCAATATTTTATGTAATCTTGGTGGTTTCTGAGGAGCAATATCAGGGGATGGTCCTCTATGAAGAGAAGCAGCATTATGTATCAGAGTTCCCAAGTCTTCTTTACTTTGTCCATGTCCAGAGATGGCACAAGGTGAGCTGACAGAGTTGGCACTAAGATCTTTGCTGGTTGAAAGTGCACTTTCTTTGGAAATCTGGTTCATTGATTCAATGCTGGTAATAGAACGCTTTGTTGGGATGGGACTGCGTTTGCCATTATTGGAATCAGACTTTTTTACTATGTTATCCGATTTATTATCATTGTCTTTTATGTTCAGATTCTGTAAATATACACCCTCAATGTCTGAATCTAGGTTGTCATCTCTGATATTTATAGGTGTGATTTTTGGTTTATGAAGAACTTTACTTGATTTTAATTCATCTACATTTTTAATGATAGCCTGCTTCAATGGGTCATGACACTGAGCAGACTTTGGTATACTGTCACTTGAGGCGATGACAGTAAATATACTGTTTTCAGGCAGAGGAGAGCTTGACTTTCTTGGGCTGGTAGGACGTACTTCATTCACAAATATTTTAGGTGATGAGGAAAATCTGGTCGGAGTGGTTGGTCTGGAGCGTGGTGGTACTAATGGAGGTTGAAAGGCAGAGGAATCAGATGGCGATGATACAGAGCGCAAAGTACGACCAGGTGAACTTAGACAAGGACCACACACACTTTCATTTGTGCCAATCTGAAATGCCGAGACAGTACTCATACTGCTCTCTGGCACAGGAGAGCTTGATTTTCTTGGGCTGGTAGGACGTATTTCATTTAGACAAATTTTAGGTGATGATGAAAATCTGGTCGGAGTGGTTGGTCTGGAGCGTGGTGGTACTGATGGGGGTTCGAAAGCAGATGAATCAGACGGTGATGATAAAGATCGCAAAGTACGACCCGCTGAACTTGGACAAGGACCACACTCACTGTTGTTGGTGGCAGTTTGAACTGCCGAGACAGTATTTATATTGGTATCTGGCAGAGGAGAGCTCGACTGTCTTGGACTGGTAGGACGTGCTTTATTTACCAAAATTTTAGGTGATGATGAAAATCTTGTTGGTGTGGTTGGATTGGAGCGTGGTGGTAATACTGGAGGTTCAAAAGCAAATGTATTAGACGGTGAAGACAAAGATCGCAAAGTACGACTAGGTGAACTTGGACTAGGATCAGACGACTGGTTTCTGACTAAACCTAAGGTTGCCAAAAGTCCGGTAAGAGCTTGACCTTCATTTTCATTTTTGATTGGCACAGCTGGTGCTGCTGTTGGCTTGTCATCTGTTGGAACTGGCGAGGACCACCTTCTGTCACTTGCCTTTGGAGCAGCTTTCAATCTAGTCACAGATGTAGCATGATCGACAGTTTCCGATTTCAAATGAAGATGTCCTGCAGCACTCAGTGCCCTTGTTTTGCTAGAGTGAGTATTATGTTTTTTATGTTTTCTGGATTTACTTGGGTCAGCTTCATGTTCGATGTCCTGCTGTATGTGTTCAGAAGAGCCATTCTTTTTGTTTTCTAAATGTTTTTTGGTATGAGGAGTTGTTTTAATTTCTTGTGATGTCATTTCATACGATGGCTTTCTGAAACCTGTACCACTCACTGAAGAGTTAATCTCTCCAACAGGATGTGACTGTGATATGTGAAGGAGAAGGGGTGGGGCTGAGAATGGAGAAGGCAGGGCTGAAGATAGTGGGGGCGGGGCTGAGGATGGGAGAGGTGGGGGTGCTGACAAGGGAAGAGGGGGAACATTGTTTGAAGATGAAATATTGACTGCATCAACTTCATCTACAGCTGGCTCTGAATGCAGTTTGGATTTTCTGACCTTTGGCAAACCAGAAGATGTAGCTTTCTCAGGTGAATCCAGCATGCTTCGACGAGGTGCAGGTTTAGGAGTCACGTCTTTGTTTTTCTGCTCAGAGGTTGCTTTTAGGGACTGTTTCATTGCTACAAGATCTTCACTCAGTCCTTTGCGATCAGATCTTGGTGTTCGAGGTCGTGCTACAGGGGTAATCCCTTTTGATGATGTGTTGGAATCCAAATCAGATTTTCTAGAATCTTTCTGGAGATTTAGTGTTTCTGGCAAAGAACTTCTACTGTGTTTATTTGAACTGAACAGGTCTTTAGTGTGTTTTTCATGTTTTTTAACACCTGCAGCTTTATTTGTTGACACAGACTTTGGTGAGTGACTAGAAGTCTTGGAAGGTGATGTCGTCGCTGCTGCAGAAGAGTTAGAAGCTGATGTTTCTGCTGATAATGATACCAGTGATGGTGATGATACTGAAGATGTTGTCGATGTCCGGACACCATCACTTGAACTGTCAGTTGTCACCTTGTCACTCTGCAAAATAAGGGGTATATTTCGCTTAGCCCCTTTTGCCAGTTCATCTAATGGTCTTAGTATAGTCAGAACCTCCTCTCGTTTCTTCTCCACTTTTCTAGCCTCCTTACCAGAAAGAGGTAATGCACTAGGAACTTCATCACTTTTGCTGCCTAGAGAGTATCTGGCTTTTAAACTTTTTAATTTTTCCTTGATTTCAGATGCTTTTTTAGATTTATCTTCACTAAGTGATGTCTCTAACTGCATTTTGGATTTCTTTGTGTTCTCGATGACTGGATCCGTGAGAATATGTTTTGCTCCAGTACTTTCTGCCTTTTTTGAAATTGTTGTTTTTATTTCTGCTGTTGTGTTAACAGTAGAGTTCATGCTTTTCTTATCTGTGTCTGATAAAACTTGTGCTTTGCTGGCGGCAGCTGGGTACGTAAAACCCTGAGTCTCTGAGTTGAGAGATGGCGACATGAATGGAGAACGTGTGTAAACCTTGTTGGTCGGTGACAGTTCACTATGACGAAAGCAAGATCTATGGTACAGTTTGCCGCCTTCCATGTGCCGCTCCAGAAGATACACCCGATTTTGACAGATTGAGCACTTGTCCAGGACCGAAGTTGGTGCAGTTCTGCTTGCTACCTGCAAGTTTTAATTACAAAAAAAAAGAGTTGGGGTTTATAGGAATAAATGAAGTTATCTGAAGCAAAAAACTGGAGTACACTGTGATGGTCAGAAAGTTGGAGGGAAAGAGAGGCAGAGGGAGACCAAGAGAGAAGATGCTAGAGAATGTGACATCATGGCATGGAAGATTAGAACTGATCGAAAGTAAATGAGACACAAGTTTGTGGATAGACATGACTGCTAATACCACCGAGCATAGACTATAATAAGAAATTAGCCACTGATATATAGGTAATATTTATCCAGTCCCATACCTAACTATGCTACACATCATTATGACAATTATATGGGGAAACTGTGCCTTTGTCAATGAAGGTAATACTTATCCAGACTGGCTTCCCAACAAGCATGTCATAGGAGTTGACTAACTGAGGGCATTTTGTGAAGTCACGAGTTCAACTGCCTGAGAGGCAAGGAACCAAGATTCTGCATACAAGAAAAAGCCAGATCTGTGAAACGGATGTGCATGCAATACTCCGGTTCTGGAACAAAACTAAAGTACAGAGGTGGACGAAAAACTAGAACTGTCTGCCATAGTTAACAGCTGGTGAACGCGAAGAAGATTCCCAGGAATTAATGACAGACAAACTCCCACCCTAGAGTAATGAAAATATCCTTCTAATTGGCAGTTTTCTTCTATTTTCCATTAAATGATGGCTGGCATATTGTGTTGTGGTTTACAGCTTGGCTTAGATATGTGTGCCTTTTGGACAAATGCAACTCTTTATTAGCAACCTTTAATAACCAGCTTGTTAAGGATCAGTGGATTAATTTCACCACCCCCCCCCCCCCCCCTCCCACCCCCTGAACTGCATGGGACACCACATAGGGTGGTTGGGGGTGCATTATCCATAAAGATATGACAGCTGACCACGGCTGCAGAGGAAAAGGAAGAAGAAAAAGAAGATGGAGAAGAAGGAAAAAAGAAGGAGGAGGAGAAGAAGAAGAAGAAGATGAAGAAAGAGTAGAAAAAGCAGGAGGAGAAGAAGAAAGTAAAAAGATAAGGATAAAAAAACTTCTTTAAAAACAAAAACAATATCTCGTACTGGAGATGCATTTTCCTTAGTGTCTGTAACTGGTGGCTTTTTCACAGCTGGTGCAGCGGAATGATCAGCATCAGTTTGTCTCTTGGTGCCGGTGACGGCCTTGTTGGAAACCTTGCCTCTGACTCCGGGACCCCCAACTGGTTCAATGAAATATATGTGATAGTTTCACTGACGAAATATATGTGATAGTTTCACTGACAAAATATGTGTGATAGTTTGATGAAACATATGTGATAGTTTCACTAGTGAAATATATGTGATAGTTTCACTGATGAAATATATGTGATAGTTTGATGAAATATATGTGATAGTTTGACGAAATATATGTGATAGTTTCACAAATGAAATATATGTGATAGTTTCACTATAAAAAATATATGTGATAGTTTCACTTATGAAATATATGTGACAGTTTCACTAAAGAAACATATGTGTCAGTTTCACTTATGAAATATATGTGACAGTTTCACTAAAGAAATATATGTGACAGTTTCACTTTTAAAATATATGTGACAGTTTCACTAAAGAAAAATATGTGATAGTTTCACTAATGAAATATATCTGACAGTTTTACTAATTAAATATATCTAATAGTTTCACTAATGAAATATATCTGACAGTTTCACTAATGAAATATATCTAATAGTTTCACTAATGAAATATATCTGACAGTTTTACTAATGAAATATATCTGACAGTTTCACTAATGAAATATATCTAATAGTTTCACTAATGAAATATATTTGACAGTTTCACTAATGAAATATATCTAACAGTTTCACTAATAAAATATATCTGACAGTTTCACTAATGAAATATATCTAATAGTTTCACTAATAAAATATATATGAGTTTAATGAAACAGATGCAGCAGTTTTACTAAAGGAACAGATGTAACTGTTCAACAAAATGGTGATCACTGAAACAACAGTAAACTGTTTTGACTCTATACCCTGTGTGGGCTCTGAGGCCCCAATTGTGGGAATAAACAGAATAGATTCAATGCCTCCCTAACAAGCATATGTTGTAGGAGTAAACTAATTAGGGGCCTTCTTCAAAGTTGGAGTCCATCAGTCTGAGAGGCAAGGAACCATCAGCCTGCATACAAATAAGCTAGATCTGTAAAATTAATGTGCATGCATAACAGAAGTTCTGGAACAAGACTAAAGTCTAGAAGTGGATGAACAACCAGAACTTTACACCAGAGTTTATGGCCAGTGAAAGTAAAGAAGTAGAAGTGTTGAATATTATAATATGACATAATGCAGTAGTTCTCAATTAGCTAAACCCTACTTGCCTTGCTGTTTTTGAAGGTTTTTCACAGACAACTTTCTAGAATTTATCAATATTAGAAACACAAAAATAATGTCATTCTGAAGTTGAGGATTGTTTCATTTTGTTTTCATAAATGATATTTTCTTCTTTTTGGCATTCACCGGCTGTAATAAAGCTGGCAGAAATTTCTGGTTGTTCATCCACTTTAGACTTTTTGTCTTGTTCCAGAACTTTAGCTTTGTGTGCTCATCAGTTTACAGATCTGGCTTATTTTTAAGCAGACTGTTAGTTCCTTGCCTCTCAGGCAGATGCACTCTGAACGAAACACACCTAATTTGTTGACTTTTATGAATGCTTTTTGGGGGCAGCGGGCCTATTCTTGTTTTCTCAAAATGGGGCCCCAGAACCCGCACATGGAGTAAATGATATTAAGGATCCTTTAAATTGTTTCACTGCCGCCCGGCCCACCAAACTGGAAACACCGTAAAGGCAATGAAAACAAATAAGTAGAAATATTAATTCATATGACATATATGTTTACCAGTAAACTAGTAAAGTAAAAGTAAAGGACCCTTTTCATGCCTATAGGTGTATTAGGCATATAGGGCTAGACCTATATTTTATAGACCAATCGGCAGTTGGTAAGTGATGGGGTCAACACCACGCCAGGCATCTGATAAAGAGATGCGAGTATCTTGTATATGAAAAACATAAATACCAAGAAAGCAAATATTCACAAAATCTGGTAATATTCATAAACATAAAATGTCTCCAGGAAAAATATATGTAAAAATGTAGACACCACAGGTAGGCAGCAGAAGTTACTGGATGCTGAGACATAAAGGATTAACAGGCTTAGGTAGAGAGCTGAGGTTACTGTAATACAGTGAGATATAAGTAATAACATAATCTGAGATACGGTGCTAAGGTTACCATAATACTGAGATATAAGGAACAACTAACTCTATAATGTAGCGCTACAGTTCTGTAATACTGAGATATAAGGGGTAACTTACTCTGAGATAAAGTGTTAAGGTTACTGTAATACTGAGATATAAGGGGTAACTTACTCTGAGATAAAGTGTTAAGGTTACTGTAAAACTGAGATATAAGTGATAACTTACGCTGAGGTAGTGTACTCAGGTTGTTGTAATACTGTGAGACATAAGTGATAATGCTCAATTTGTCTGGACATTTCAATCTGGCCATGTCGTCTGCTTCAAGGAATGCTGGGATATCTAGTTCTTGCTCAGCAATCTCAAATGCCTGAAAACAAAATAAAATTATGCCAATGGCCATGAGGAAAAAGATCATTATAGTGCTTTATAAAACCTGCACTGCTGTATGCATGTTAATCATGGACAATAAGCAGCCTAGCTGAGAAACTATCTTCTCTTGTTTTGTTTCTAATTTGTGAAACATTTTCTTCTGCATTATGAAGTGCAGATCCATCCTGGCATTTACTAACATTACTTGAGACCATGTATAATTCACTTTCTGTTTTCTTTGCTTCTTTCAAATTGTTATCTTCTTCAGTAATATTTCCAGTTAAACATGTTTTTCCTGAACTTTGCTGCAAATCCATTTTCTTAAAGCTGTCTTCTGATTTAGAAGAATAATGGCAGCAGAAATTTGATTTCTAGTGGAAATGCATCTCGAGTGTTTGCTGCAGCCCTCATGTGAAGCAAAGAATAGTAGCCGGGCATGTCACAAGAAGGTCGGGAGCATTGGGTTTGGGGTTGGCTACCTTGTCCTTTAAAAACAATAGCCACAAAATAACCAACCAACCATGGAAAAGCCAAAAATAGAAACAAGTAACACCCAGTCAACCAAAATGAGATTGGAAGCTCTTCTAATAGAAGAATGATGAAGTGGTGCAGAGAAAGCCAAAAGAATCATTGACACACATCCTTTCTCCTAGGAAAATCTCCAGAAGAGGCACCTGTCCTTTGCAGGATGACTTGGCACAAGTTTAGGGCCTGTGCTCTATTGAGCTGATTAAGGACAGAAAAAGAAAAAGTGGAAATGCAAAAGAATATGGACAGACAGAAAACAGTGAGACCTTCAACAAAGAAACAAATGAAAACAGTGAACTCATCAGAAACATTATACTGTTCAGGTGATATGTTTGTTTTTCAATAGAGGTAACAACAAATAAAACTAGCCAACAGAGAAGTGGTGAATATATTTTAACTAAAGTAAATAAAATAAAAAATATTACCAGCTTGCAGTTGTCAAACACATTTTCTGGTGACAGTGAGTCATAGTCTCTGTAAACAAAATAAAACAAAGAATGAAATTAACAACACTGATGTACAACTGTTAATTTGTCTTTCAAAACGAAACACAACACAAAAGCAGAAGTCAGCAAGAAAACAATGCAAGTCAAAATGGGGAAAGCTTCTATGAAAAAAAATTAATATATTGAAAGAATCAGAATATTAGAAAAATTAAAGCACTGATTGGTACATGATTCCTCTGGAAGACAGTTTTATCTCTCAATTATGAATACCTCTTTCTGTGTTTTATGGGGTAGCATTGAAAGGGGGGGGGGGGGGGGGGGGGGTGTGAGACCCACTGTCCATTAACAAGCATGTCGTAAAAAGTAAATAATTAAGGATGTGCTGAAATCAGATAGTTCAGGCTGAAAGGTGCAGAAATCACAGCCTGGCTGAAAACCACAGCACAATATGCCAACTGACCCTTTAAAAGCGAATAAAGAAGAATGAGAAAAAAATGAATGCATTGTGCATCAGGTTACTTCAACCCTAAAAATAATTTGTACCAATTGGAAGGGATGGTTAGTGAAGAGACTTTCCTGACAGCCCAGTACTAAGGTTGATTAGACTTTCTCCTGTCGGGTTAAAGGAGAGAGGTAACGGGGGAGGGGGGGGGGCAACGAATACTCCAGATTAAGTAGCTGGTGAATGTCTTGGTGGAGGAGTATCATTATTTCTCCTCAAAATGGGGCCCGAGAACCCTCACGGGAAGTGAACATCTGATAACAATGTAACTAGAATATTGTTGCATTGGAACCCACAAAGGAATAGAGGTAAATTTGTCGCTTATCGTTTCACCCGACATTGCAAAACCAATCTTGGCATTTTTGGCTGTACACATTTCAAAAACCAAAGCAAGGTGGTCTGCTATCAAATCACTCGGCATACTCGGAATGACGAAGCCGAAGCCACAGAAGCCAACACGGCGAAAGACTATGCTATGCAGTGGGGGGGGGGGATGGGGGAAACAAGAGTTACATGCGATATCAAACCTTGGTATGAGCTGTTTGTGCATCTGAGCTCCATCCACTTGGGGATGAAAGGACTGAAGAAGGAGACACTCGACAATTTAACGAGAAACCCTTTGGTCAAAGGAAGTTAACTTATCATCTTCTTCTTAACCGTTCACAGGCTGCAAACTCCGGCGGAAAGTTCTGCTTGTTCGTCCACTTCGGGACTTTTGATTTCTTACAAAACTTGAATTCCACATTCGTTTTTAAAATCTGGCTTATCTGCACGCAGACTGTTGGTTACTCAACTTTCAGGCATTTGCACTCACTTCAAAGGAAACACCCCTTTATGATCGATTTTTTAATTTAAAAAAAAAAACGGGTGGGGGAGCAGTGGGTCTATTCCTTTCTCCCAAAAATCGGGCCCCGGAACCAACACGGGATTATTCATTCATTCATTCAGTAGCATGTCCCTCGCGGAACCTCGCTGCCATAACAACCCTCCGGAAAACCTTCCTATCCTGAGCAAGATGTCCTGCGTCTGATACACCCATCTGGAGATCATCTGCCACATCCTGCACCCATCTTCTCCTTGGCCTTCCTCTTCCTCTCTTCCCAAGCATATACCCCTCCATTATTGTTCTCTCTAGACTTCCATGACGTTTCAAGTGACCAAAATATTTCAATTTTCTTTGTTTTATTGTCTTTACTAGCCAACCCTCTTCAATATTCAGCTCTTGAAGTATGGATGCATTTGTTCTTTTCTTTACCCAAGATATTCTTAGAACCTGTCTGTAACATTTATATTCAACACGGGATTATAGTCAACAAAAACCAACCCACGAGGAAGGTTATCTACTGACGTGACGGCGTCAAGTCGCTAGTCATCTTCCCATCCATCTTGATCGCTCATTGATGTATGATAAATACTTCTTTGGGAGGTACATCCTAACAACAATCTCAACCTTGGAGTATCTATCGATCAAAGGAACCTACAGCTGAGAATCAATAACAGCCAGAGACGCACTAGTCAGAGGATTTGTAAGTTGATCGTGTGACAGCGAGATTGTCGAAACCCTTCAATTACCTGAGTCATCCATTGCTCCGAGTGTGTCAAAAGTTCATTTGGTATCTTGTCTGGTGGGGAGAAAAACAAAAATTCAAGGCAGGGGCGAGCTTAGTTGGTTTACACTGCTGAGATACTGTCGGCCCGCGTACCAAATCTGGCCCGCGGATCCCTAGCAAGTGGACTGCGTATCATTGCCAACTGTACTGTATTAATGATCTTTTTATGTTTGGGCTCCGGCCCCGTGACGATCGCATTTTTCAAAATGGTGGTTCCTGGGTAGACTTAGATATGAACAGCCTTGATTTACAGCAAAACAGTAACTGGACAGCAGATTTACACACTAAGACCTACTGACTGATACTCACAGAAAAAAATTATAGACATGAAAAAGTGCTGGCAAACCAAGACTTGAACATGTCACCTCCAAATGACGACGGCTCATCGTTGCGGGAACAGAGGGGTGTGTGCGTGTGCGTGCGTGTGTGCGTGCGTGCGCGCGTGTGTGGTAGTAAATATAATATATTTGAAAAAAGAAATAAGAACTGTTTCAAGAAATAGAGTGAAAGAGGAGAAGAGGCAGACCAAGAAAGACCTGGTTACAGAACCTGACCGACTGGACCGGCCTCAGGTATGCAACCTTGAAGTCCATAGCTACTGACCGCCAAAGGTGAAGAGAGCTGATCAGATAATCAACAGAAACTGATGACCCAAATGACACGTGCTACGGGAATTTATTATGGGGGGGGGGGGGGGGACTTACCTCCCATTCTATGGGGGGGGGGGGGGGGGGAGATGCGTAAAGGACCTGTCAAGAAACTGTTCACCCTGCCCTATATCCCGGCTGAGAATAGAAAGACCTTACACGAGTGATTCCAGAACTGTGCGCCGCAAGGCGTCCCGGGGAGCAGAGGCCGCGAAACATTCGAAGATACACAAGTTATAAATATATATATATATATATAATCTCTTACATACGAATAGTCATACTCTTACTTATGTTAGGGAGCCGTGGAAAAATTTTAATTGAAAAAAAAAAGGCGCCGCGATTAAAAGCAGTTTGAGAAACATTGCCATACATTCACTGCGGAGTTTCGTGCTTTGTGCAAATCTTTCCGCAGGCCACCACCGTCAGCCACTATACTGAGACCAAACCGTGTGGAATGAAACCCGATAACGAAGCCAATCTTCTGGCTTTTAAACAACCAGTCTTTTACTTCACAACACTGATCGAATGTCTCTAAACAAATCAGGTCTCTACATATGTACGCACAATACACAAAGCGTCACAGTCGTGACAAGGCGATAATAACTTCCAGCTAGAAACGCCAAGCTTCGTGTTCCGCTTTCCTCATTCCGGAAGTTACAGAAAGGTAACATTATACAGCAGAGACGTGAACCTGGTTAACACTTGCGTTAAACATTTTTTGTTGTAAGACAGCAAGAGGTATATAACGATACAAGTGGAAAGACAAAATTAAGAGATGGACTAACAGCAGTCTGATAGAGTCTACAAACCAAAAAGAGTGAAGAGAGCTGGAGATCCACTGCAGCCAACCGTCATTGTGGAGAAGGCACGTGAGAAGGCACGTGATTGACTGTAAATGGTTATAGGACGTTTTAAACCAACCCCAGTTTTCGCGGTTTTAGTAGCCCCGGTTACTTAGTGAAGTTTGCCATTGCCTGAACGATCGACGCTGATACTGGTGTCGAAATCACCGCAAACCAATCTGTTGACAAATCTGTGACTGTGTGTGTGTAGGTGTGTGTGGGTGTGTGTAGGTGTGTGTGGGGGATAGACTCACTGCATCCCTAACAAGCATGTCGTAACAGTCGACTAATTGAGGGGTTTCCTTCGAAGTCGGAGTGCATCCGACTGAAAGTCAAGCAGCCAACAGTCTGCGTACATATCAGCTACATCTGTAAAACGGATGTGCACGGAAAACTCAGGTTCTGGAACAAGACTAGTGTCCGGAAGTGGACTAACAACCAAAACTTTCCGCCAGAGTTTACAGCCGGTGAACTCGAAGAACAATAAGACTCCGAGATACTGGTATTGTGAAACTGCCGTTCATAACTTTATCATTACCAAATGCATTGACATTCTTCTGGGTCTGAACATAAAAAGGAGGTGGGGAAGAGGGAGGGAGAGGAAAAAAAGAGGGAGGGAAAACTGGTTTATAGACATAGTTTCTCTGAAATACTTCGGCCATTACCAACATAATTTGTCATGAGATACGCCAAGGCTGTCTTGTTTCGGCTTTCCAGACGATCACTAGAATCACGGATCAAGTCATTGCACTAGTCTCGCCTCCCTCAATGTGGCCATTTGTCTCTTTGCCTTCCCCTTGCTCCCCCTCTCCTTGTCATCTCACACGATCAACACAATCACCGATAAGGTCATCGCACTAGTCTCGTCCCCTCTATGTGGCCATTTGTCTATGTGTCCTCCCCCTCCCCAAACCACTCAATCTTGCCAGGTTTCACAAAGTTCTCGACTCTATTTCTTCTCATAACCTGACCACAAAAATCATGTGTTTCTGTATAATTTCGTCTTCCGCTGCCAGTAGTCGTTTTTTGTTGCTGTTGTTGCTTACTGCCTTTGCCTCACATGCATATAACAACAAAGGTTCTCTCTTTTGCTTCGGCCATAATCAAAGCCATAATGGTTTAGCGCAGTGGTTTTCAACCTTTTACAGGTGGTACTCCCTTTAGTAAATAGGGAGGGCCGCACCTCCCCCAGCCGCTTTTTCTAATCCCAACATAATAAAATGTCATTAAAAAGAGGAGGACGAAAAAGAACAATCACAATAACTGTTAACGAGAACATAGAGAAAAACATTGCCACATAAATCAATGTCAAAGACGTACAAGAAACAATCGTCAAACAGTGTTCAAATATAAACCTAATGGTTGGCTGCGGCAAACTGGCAACGCTGTTTTGCTTCTGAGTACAGATAAAGTCAATTTCAGAA